ATCTACACCAACTGCTTGCCTCAATATAGTGGACGAATCAGTAAATCCCAAGCACAATGAATCAAATATTTCTTCAACATCGTTGGCAGTCAGCATTGAATCAAAAGACGGCAATTGTTGAAGAAGTGAAAATCTGGACAGGAGACATTTTAGGTCAACCCCAATACCAACACGTACCGAACAGCTCTATCAGGGCACTTCAATAGCTTCATAAGAACTGGAATAACGCGTGCCTTGTAAATTTCCTCCTTTGTTGGAAAGCTCCCCCTCATGAGAGTCTCTCCAATCAACAAAATGCTTTGAAGAAGAAGCCCCGGATGCCCATAGAAATCCAGCTGATCATGCGATGTGGTCAAGCCTGCACATTCATCTTTTGACTCACCTGGCGTGTGAGTTGTGGCAGAATTTGCAGATACTACAAGACAACCATCAGACGCGACAATATGGATGAAATCGCGGACCTGAATTTCTCCAGGAATCGTCGTCAACACTTCAGGGAGAGTCGTGAAAAAACTTTCCTTTTCCCAATTTCCTTTCAAGTTGATCTGGTCGAAAAAATGCATTACCTTTAGGAGAGCACTGTCCGCAAAGAACGGATTTGTTACGACAATCGTCTTGAAGTTCAATGCTTCCGTCGTTGTCCGTGACGCTCTCAATAATTCCTGAAACAAAGATCAATTAAAGCCGATCGAGTTTCATGTGACACACATTGCAAAATTCACGCGCTACTGATGGCACGCTGGAGCGATTCTCTTCTGGGGATAATGAGAGATGGAGCCGTTGATCTCCGATAAGCTTTAATGAGCCATACACCCACGAAATCAAGGAAACCAATCCCCACCTGGACAATCTCCCTTTAGCAAATCCTTAACCATCTAATCGAACGCACCTATCGAGACCAAATGGAGTCAAATCATCCAGCGGAGGAGAATAACCAGATCCCTTGAGGGGATGCTCTAGGATTGAAGATCGCATTTCATACGGAAGTGTTGATCCCAAACTTGCAACAGGGCGAATAAGATCGAAACCCCCGAGTCTCCAATGGGCTGAAAGGAGCGATAAGGACGGAAAACGGAAGCTACAGTACCGTCTTCCACTGTTACATAGACGCTGAAAGGGCAAATGAGTCCGTGAACAGACTTCGCATCAGCATTCAAGAACTCCACTGCGGACGCTATTTGAAAAATGCCCCAAATTGGTTCGGATGGGATATCTGAACAAGTGGGGATGTCAGCAGCAAGATTTGGAGGATGAGAAAATACTACCTGATGACACCAAAGGCCTCACGTATTCAGTAACAATATAGACCCCGCTACCAACTTCAACACCCTGTATAATGAATGATATTCAATATCGGGACTGCCTGGTTCTCCAAATAGAAGACTGACCTCTAGAGTGCGAAGAATATAAGGATGACGAATCGTTCGAATATTTTTCAAACAGTTGCGAGCAAAATTCAAATACGCTGCTCTGATGGAAGCTCGAATGAGTCGAAGAGAACTCGAGAGAAAAGGACTTACGCTGTAACAGGAGGTAGAAGTGAAGACTTCTTATCAAAAATGAAAATGGAGACTTTGGACCTGACGAAAGAGAGACGAACAGTTTCCTGGTGTGTCTATACGCTGCAACCCACTTGTCAGATGAATTAATTCCATCAAACAACTGAAAAACAGATCCATATGGGAGTGAGACCTTATCGCCTATACTATAACCGAAAGAGGCAGGCAAGTCACTCCATGCTTTGCCCGATAAAAGAGACGTGAAAGCCCCAAGGAATGAGCTTGCCATTGGGATATCACCTTCCGACGACCATTAACCCGGGAAGAATCGTGACTAGTCACAGAGAAAACCAAAACTACGCCAAAACGGTGTTAAGGGAAGATACAGAAAAGAAGAGCTGATGCTTCATAGGGCGGACATGAAACGGCTGCTTCGACTTGTGTTGGGTCGACGATACACTTGATTAGAAGATCCAAAGAATGTGTCCCATAAAATAGTTCTTGATCGAGCGCGACGTCGACGCCTTCGCCAGAAGAGAAAAAGCCTCCACAATCCCAAAATAAGAAATCCGATGCAAAGAGATATTGATAACCTGTCGAAATCATCATCGTATCGAATAAGAGAAAGTATCGAACAAGAGAAAGTATCGAACAAGAGAAAGTATCGAATGAGAGAAAGTATCGAATGAGAGGAAGTATATATCACAATGGGTTTGTTGAGGTTTAACTCACCTGAGCCGTTTCACTGCATCTTGAAAATGTCCGGCCCATACGCGATGCGGAAGTTCACGATAAATCGATAGCACCTGGTTGTCAATTCTAGCATCATCTGCAAGAGAGAAGATTTAGAAGACACTCTAAAATGACAATTGACCTTGTGCGTCCCCTGATTCGTGCGAGTTTGTCACCGTGCGAGTTGGAAACAGACTGGCAAGCGAACTGTTGGTGTCAATGCGCTGGGGAATGGAGCGAGCGGAGTGTCCTAACCATACATTTCGTATGTCAAGGTCTTCGGGCAAACGCGAGAGTTGCGGGAGTGCGGGGGGAGCAAGAACGTCGATCCGATGCAAAATCGTTAGAAGCTGATCCATGGCTGAGTGTCTCGCCAGCGCTAGATGATGGGGGAGCCAAGCGAGTCCCAACCGAATAGCTTGTGCCCGCGTTGCTATTCCGACAAATGCGTCACAAATTTGATCAAAGAACCACGTGTTCATATCCAGCAATTGAGAAAACCGTGAAAGAGTGTCCACAGATTGAGAGAAGAGCGAACCATCGTCATACCCTAAAAATAAACCACAATATACAACCATTCAATAAGTCGACCACATACCACCGTATCCATAAGAAGACCGCCCGCCAAACCCGAATCCACTGTATCCTCCGTATCCATATCCAGAGCCGTATGGAGCACCATAACTGGAATACGGCTGAGCAACGTAAGACGTTGTGCTATCCGGTAGAAGAGCGCTGTTGACTGCAGTCGTATCATTTGTTTGGGGGTTGTTGTCCAAGGTTGTCGGAGAATTAACAGGCTCTCCACTGCTAGAACTCTGACCAATTCCGAGGGTAGCGTCAGTCACTGAACGTCTCCGAAGCGCGGAACGATAATTACGAGTATTAGGGGGAAAGGAATCTGAGTGGAAAAGGTCATTCAGGGAGTCCACTGCTGGAAAATTGGTGGCTTGGGAAGGCTTGGCATTGGTAATGGACTGAGTTGTTGCAGTTGGGACAGAAGAAGGATCCGACGGTCTAAGTTGGGAAGCGGAAGAAGGAAACGTGTTAGAGAATGTTGGGGAGGAATTGGGGTGAGTGGATTGCCGGGACCCGCGGGTGGATGAGGAAGAGAAAATGTTGTGAGTGAGTGGCTGAGCTGATGGGGAAGAGGCTGACGGGCCGGAAATCCCGGTAGTGGATGTCGTCGAAGCGGTACGATGCATTGAAATGGCAAAGAAACACCCACGCGAAAGATAGACGAAAAGTAATGGAAATAGGAATGATGAACAACGCCCCACATCACCTTGTTAGCCCCTCAACGATATGTGAGATCCGCATATACAAACACTGTATGAGAGGGCAGATGGTACCAGGACCGTACTGAAAATGTCTGGACCCATCAGGACCATGATGAGGAAATGAGTACGGAGAGTATTGTGGGTTTCTACATGGTCGAGAGCACTCCTATCGTGAATTGTGTATGAAGATGGATAGCGGTGATGATTCTGAGAAGATTGGAAGAGAGGAAGAAAAGGATGGAAAAACGAACAATTCAAGCAACATGGGAACGTTAGGATTCCCGCTGACTTTTGGAAAAACGAAAGACAAAGTCAATTTAAGGATTGTGAGTAAAAGATAATTGATAAATTGATATTGAACTGTTATTTTCAGAGGATCGATGACGAGGAGGAGGAAGACGAATCTGCTGAAGAACGCGTGAGTTTGGAACTTCAAAAACTCATTCAACCTTCAAAAGCACCAAAATTAGCAAAACCAGAAGTCGGTAAAAGCTCAGCGACTCTTGAGTGGGAAAAACTCGATTGGAGAAGGAAGGACGATGAGAACGAGGAGTCCCTTCCACTTCCGGACTACTTTGTTCCGAGTGCGAAAGCAACTTCATTAGCCGCCCATGAACGTTCCGTCACGGCGTTAGCAATCAATCAAAAGGGATCTCGTTTAGCAACGGGGGGTTATGACGCGGAGGTATGAAATTGATAGTAGACTACTCTACCGATCTGTTCCTTCTTCAAGGTCCGACTTTGGGACTTTAACGGAATGGTTGCTCATGCTGGATCGTTCCGCCGTTTTGTCCCAATAGCAGGACATGGAATCCGCGCTCTGTCCTATTCCCCTACAGGTTCGCATTTCGTATGTGCTAATGGGGATGCAGTAGCTCGCATTTATGACGTCGACGGAAATCGAATTCAGGTCTGCTGCGATATAGATTTCCTATCTGGCATCTGTTGTTCATCATTCCCCTTCTTTCTATAGGCGACTGTGAAAGGTGACATGTATGTTCGTGACTTGGCAAATACAAAAGGTCACACCCACGGAATTCTGGATTGTCAATGGCATCCGTACGATAAAGAAAAATTCATCACAGCCTCCCAAGATGCAACGGTTCGGATTTTCGACATCACGTCCAAGCCATACGGGATAGACGAAGCCTTAGCGCACCTTCACGTCTTGAAAGTAGGATATGTTGGCAGGGAATATAATCCGTTAGTTGCTTCGATAGGCTGTGGATAAGCGGAATCTCAATATCGCAGGGCAATGTCATGTGACATGCGCTAAATGGTCCCCGTGTGCAGCAAAGTTTATTATTGGAGGATGCGGTGATGGTTCTCTCCAACTGTGGAATGAGAAAAAGTTCTACTGCAAGCCAGATAAGGTATTGCATGAGAGATATTGCTTCTCAAAATAACAATTATCTGTCCAGATCGTTCGGGGTGCTCATGATGCTGAAGTCAGCGGAATCACTGTTTTTTATGATGATTGCAAAATCGTTTCTCGAGCTAAAGATTCAACGATGAAGCGTACGGTCCTCAATCTTGATTGAATCTACTTCTTCTTTTCTCTCAGTTTGGGACATCCGCAAGTTCAAGGAACCACTCCATGTTTGGCAGAATCTCGAAAGTGACCTTTCAGAATTGGATGTTTGTATTTCGCCAGATCAAACAATGATCGCTACGGGTGTTCAAGTTGAAACTGGAAATCCCTCCAAGCTCGAAGTAAGAGAAATGCGCTATTATAGAGAACTTGTTATCCAAACTCGCCGCGTTCATATTCTGATATTTTTCTTAGATCTTCAATGCATCGACTTTCGAGCGAGTGACCTCGATCCCAATTGTATCAGAGGCAAAAAAGGTGGAAGGCGCTGCTCGTGAACGCGTTTTCGCAATCTCTCGAATTTTATGGCCAGAGTCTTTGAACCAGTTGATTTTAGGATGTACTGATGGGACAGTGCGGCTGCTCTACGATCCCGACCATTCCACAAAAGGTAAAGAGTGAGATGAATCCAATCCGAAAATCGTGTTTTTGTAGGAGCGTTGCTATTTGTCGGAAAGTCGGTATCGAAACGGCGGAAAGAAGAAGAAAATCTTCTAACCTTCAATGAACCAATCTTCACGATGGATGCTTTGCCTCAAGGGATCCGACAGACGCGAGAGGGTGGAATCCGACGGTAAGAAATTATGATTATTGCAGAGGGATGGTGTTGTTAACTGTGTGACTGTGCTTTTTCTCAGAGTCCGTCTAAGAGAACAAGATAAACCCACTGAGCGTCCGCAGAAGACAATCATTCCCACGAGGCCTCCAGAAGGAGTCGGAGGTCGTGCCAGTCACGGATCGTTAACGTCCCATCTTATGGGAAATATCAATGTCTCCTCGACTCGAGGTGAGAATCCCAACATAATGCTTGTTTGTTTAATGGGTATTGTTGCAGACGAGGATCCTGTTGAAGCTTTGAGAGCTTACGCAAAAAGAGCAGAAGCCGAACCAATCTTTGTCTCCAACGCCTACAAGGATACGCAGCCTCGTCCTGTTCTTGACTACACACCCGAGGTGCGCTGAAGGCAGAATCGAATCTATTCCTCATTCATTATGTTTCGTCAGATGGGGGATGATGAGAAACTGGTCCAAACAAAGTCAAAGTGTCCTAGATGTGCATTAAAACTCTGCACGTGTGGATACATGAGACTTCATGAAGCGATTAAGGGTCCCGCACCCAAGCAGAGGCGTTTAGAATGATGATGATAGGTACAAATTGATTTTGCAAAAAAGATCACACTCAACCTCCAATGCGCGTCATCGGGCGGTTTAGATGAGCGCGCTGGTAGAGCTCTTCGGCAGACGCGGCCCCTAAAACATGACGGCAACAACTCAGGGAAGGCCTCTGATATTTTGGAAGATTCACCTCCAAGTTTTTCTTCCTTTTTCCCAACAACATTTGAAATGATGTCGATTAATTTCTCATAATCATGACTTTGAAGGAAAGGACGAAGGGATTGAGATTCGCTGCTGCTGAAAAGGCAATTCTTTAAAGTGCCGTCGGAATTGACTCTACAGCGAACAATAGCGTCAGCACGCGGCGGATGATTGCTTGTACCTTATGCGGTCACACTTTCTACAGAATATGTCGGACACCGGGGAAATGACTCCGAAGCACCCAAGGCTTCCATCAATGAAGAAAACCTGAATGGAATCAACGCGTGAAAGTGAAATCTCTCAGCGACTTGCCTCTGAAACGTCTGCTTCTAAATCACGTCGCAACGGCTTCATGGAATCCCCAAAGTAGGATTTGACTTGCTGGAGAATTTCGGATTTCGAGACAACGATGTTTGGGCTCCATCCTGACCAAATGAGTTTCATCTTAAACCGACGAAAGGGAACTTACTGTTTCTATCAAAAGGCATGAACTCAATAAAACGAACATGAATTGGCAATCTCTCCGTCAGTTTGATGAAGTTGATGATTTCCTGCGGGTTTGTGGGAAATTGATCGGTCCACCTCGAAATGTACAAACCTGGTCGTTGATACCACGCATCACAACACAATTCACTTTAACCAAACAAAAATCTTTCTCAATCAGCAGAAGCATCGCCTGGAGGGAAGAGAAGGAATTGTTGTAGGTCAAGTATTACGTACGTCGAGTACTGCTTTCAAGCCTTGACGTTGGGTGATGAGTTCGAATGTTGCGGGCGATAAAGAGTCCAAGCTGAGCACAAAAATCCCGTGAGCAGTAAGACGCTATCACGAACCTTAGTGTGACTTGATTAACCTGAGAGTCGCGAACGACGTCGATGTACCGATTGATCAAAGCTGCATTTGTTGTCATTGCATAGACGTTGACATTCGCGTTGGGGTCAATTGCAGTTGATACGATTTCAGGAAACTCCCGTCGAAAAGTTGGCTAATAGAAAACATGAGGCCGTCTGTATCAATGATGGTGAACTCACTTCTCCCCCAGTGAGACGGACTTTGTTAACTCCAAGTTGCACGAATAATCGAACTAAGACCTTGATCTGCGGAGAATTAGTGGAAGGATTTGAAAGAGTCGAGACGCAAGGTCTTACGCACAGTCCGAGTGTACCTCTTCTGGAGTCATCAAATTGGGAGAGAAATCGATATCACCCGAAGGCATACAATACTGATCAGAACAAAAAGGAGGCTTTCAAGAAAAATACGGACATACTCACCTGACACCGAAAATTGCATCTATCTGTGAGAGAGACTCGGAGATACTTGTGGAATCGCTGATGTGTATCACGAAGTGTGTCACATAGACGTGCATCTGCGTTCTGTTGATCAACCTTTCTCGGGTAAATTGCTGCTGCTGATAGTGCTCGATAATTTTCGGCGTTGTCTTCTTTCACTATGAGTTGAATGTTTGGAATCTTGATGGATTGAATTGCAGTCGATATGTCAGGTAGAAGCCCAGCGGGGGAAATCGCGTTTGACCACCGAGTTTCCCTTTGTTTTGCTCGTCTGGCAATCCTGCGTTCCATTGCTGCACTCCATTCCGGTTGCTCGCCAGAAATCCGCTGTTCTGTTAAGAGTTCAGTTTTGATAGAGACGGGATTTCGGAAACTCGACAAACGTCTCTGTCCCAAAATGAGAGCTTGATATCCGCATACAACTCGCATCAGGCAAACCGAACTGTCCTGAACCACATTATGAGCTTTTTAAAAAACATAATGGCGCGTTGTAGACCAGCCCCAGATATTCCTGATGCTGTTAAAACCTTCGTTGATGAAGCAATAACATCAAAACCAGTGGTCATCTTTTCCAAGACGTAAGCTCTAATTCTCTCATCCGGTTCATCTTATGTGCTCTTAGCGGCTGCCCATATTGTTTGAAGGCAATTTCGGCTGTTAACCATGTGCCAGAGGATCAAAAGGTGCGACTCTCTGATTCCGATTCCCACACGGGTGTCGTTCACAGA